CTAGGTGTAGGGCCGAAAAGCAGTATTTAAGTCCTGGGCTGCCCACCACCCATAAGGGCTCTTTTGGGAGGTGACATTAAGGTCTATCCCATGTGTCTCTCTTCTTAAGGTTGAGAATTGATTAAGGTCCACACTCATGGGCTGATTAAGTCATAAGAAGTAACAAAATACTCAAAACCCATTATAAATTATTAATATTTCCTATTATTTTAAAAGCGATCAATAAATTCAATAATTCACAAGGAGCTTCAATGAACTTGAAATGACTTAGAAAATTTTAGGATCATTTATAACCATGTTCTAAATGTCCCAGTAAGGTTCTAGGCATTTTATAGGTTATTTAGACTTGTGAATTTTAAAGATACTCGACATTTAAAAGATAAAAGAAGGCATAACAATAAATAAAACTAAATAAAATATTCCCGTGAAATTGATTTGATATGTCTTAACCTACATTAATATCCAACGCTCAGGGGTTTGGGCTTTCAATTGTGGGCCTAAACTCTCCTAGCTAATTGGAGACATTTGGAGCGTGGCAATTTATATGGATCTTCTAGTTGACATATAAGTTGGACGTGTTGGTGATATGATAGAATAATATTGCACCTCCTGACTCGACGAACTTGTGAGGGTACAAGGTTGACACTACTACTGTTCAGTAACATTTGTAAGAAATGACTCTTGCTTTTTTAGGCTGCCGGTGGTTCTGGCAAGCAGAGTGACTAACTTGTGGATCAACAGATTTACAAAAAATATGATAAAAATAATGAAAAAATCTATTTCTTGTGGAACTAATATTTTGGTTGCTAAGTGAAATTTAATTTATTTACATGCATGACAAGCTAAGGATTTTTGGTGCCACCTTCTGAGTGTCAACTTATCGGTTACCTTGATTAGGCTAAGAATTACTCTGCTTAGATTGTCTTGCTGGTAATTTATAACCGATTGTGAACTTTATACACACAAATTGCCTACAGTTTCCTACGGAAGTCCCTCAGGAATTATGAATCTGAGCCCATCCCTAACTCAAAATACTTATATCTAATTCTAACTTTCATATATGTCCACCATCTTTTTTCATACAAACATGCATGTTTACATATTTCATGTTAAATTTTTAAATACCCGATGCTTGTGATAATTGTAATTTCATCAGGGGCGGTAGGTACATACTAACAATTTCTCCTTTACTGCACTTTATTATACATGTCTTGTTCTTACATGCGACATTGTCATTCTTTTGCTATTCATTATATTTCTGACATGCGGGAAAGATCCTAGGATAGTTGACATAGGACATATGCTTAGGTGGAGACCTTATAAACAAAACTTATTGACTCAATAATAACAAAAATAACAACAATCAATTCAACTCAAGTACACCTGATAAATTCAAAACACCAAAATAAAGAAGCTGGAATGAGCTATTTACAAGATGGGTAATGATGATCCAAACAAGCAATGGATAACTTCAGATGAAGATCAAGATAAAACATGAAGTGGAGGATGAACCTCAACTAAACTTTCCCTAGATTTAAATAATATAAACCCTTAGGACTTTGATTTTGTTTGTCAAGCATGTTGTAATCTTCACACTATCTCTTAAACTTTGCACGACTGTATGTCGTGTGATATAAACCCTAAATCTTTTTTGGTTTTTGAGGTTATTCATTCGTTACGACATAAATCCAATTATATTCCTAAGTTATTTGCATGATCGTATATTGTGCAAGTGTAAGCACTAATTTTAAAATAAAAATGGTAGGAGTACACATTAAATAATATTACTTCC